TAATTTTCAATACAGGGTAGGGGCATTGTGACTGTATTTCTTTGTTCAAAAATTCCAGATCCCCCCTCTCGGTCGTTTCGCTCCCTTGACATGCGACCAGTGCCACTACAGTAAAATTAAATCCTAGCTAGAACCAAGTGTTATAATGAATAGCAAAAGATTTAAGTTCTTTATTCACAACCACTTGTTTAAACCAAGAGCTGACATTTGGACAAGGACGCTCCTTGGTTTGGATGACACTTTTTTATTGACAGTTTGCTTTTGTTATCTTCATCAGGGCAATTATGACTGTTTCACTGAGCACTAAAGCTGGTTGTTCCTGGTTTTATACCGTTTAGTTCACCTGGCTTTCTGATACTAGCACTACTGTACTAGTATTATAAAAAGCTTCAGTGCACAGTTTAATATCAGACTTTGCCATACATCTGCTTGGAGATTGACATCTGACAGCTGTGAGGTCATTGACCCAGAAGGCAGAATCACCATAATTTGACATCCAAGCAGATATGGAGGGGAAAATCTGTGCATTTCTTTTTTTGCATGTGTGTTGAAGCTCTTTCTCTTACTAATAGAGCTTTTCTGATATGATGTGGCACAAACCCTGTCTAGAAAATTAAGCAAAAATTTCTGGAATGTCGAGCATTTGGAACCACAGGGGGTATCTACAACGCTTACCTAAATCTGGGGCAAAACGGTGTTGAAACACAGTTTTCATTGTATTATGATATTCTCCAATAGCTTCGTTGACTAAAAATCACTTAAAATGTTTGAACATAACCAAAAACAGCGAAAATTTCGACTTTTTGTCAAGCTACAACTTCAAATCATCCCATGGGATATCCCCGAAACGAAACCCAAGCCGAGTAAAAAATCATGCATTTTCAAGTCATTCCACGACGCCACATGGAAAAAATCGGACACCCAAACTTTGCCAACTTACGAAGTCTTTGTAGATTTCTTCGTTCACTTCGGGAAATAGCTTCACGGCGCCCTTAAAGACGAACAAAACGCCGAGAGTCACCGAAGCTATTGTCACAGCCAGCCTGCCAAACGCCATTTTGAAAAGGGCGGTCTAAAAAGAGAATTGTGAAAAAACGCACCTAGCGATTTGACAGTGAACCGCATCAACAGGGACGGACAAACCAGCAGAGGTTTGGGTTTTGGGTCATTTTGGCGTGTTTTTAGGCTTTTTAAAATCGGGCTTTCTCTTTTTGCACTGGTATCTTTTTGTCGTAAAAAAAGCCCAAACCCAAACCTCTGGTTGAAGATCTAGAGTACTCAGACATTGTCATCAGATTGGCAAGTGAAACAAGAGGAAGGGCACTCAATGGTTGGTGAACTGCAAGTAGACACAGTTATCTCCTAAACTAATCAACAAGCAGCCAGATTGCAGCTGTATCAAAATATCTTACCCCATTCTCATGATAATTCAGATGAGAGGTTTGCTTCCGTAAGACGGTCGTGCAATTTTGGTCTGCACGCCTCGAGCTCCTTGCTTCAAACCTTTGAGCTGATGAATTTTCGTGACATTTAAAGCATTGTGGCGTGCCTACCGTGGGTATACATGCAAACGTTCTGGTAGAAGTACTAACCTGTGGACGACTCTTTGCATATGGTTAATAATCACTTCGCAATTTCGAGTCTATTTTGTCCTGTGACAACGAGAGATACGGCGGCGTTTTGGACCAGCGTGTGGATTGTGGCGGCAGTGACTGTGACGTTTGCTACCTGTCTGGAGGCGACATTCACCCACAGTGCGTACTTGGACGCCGCTCACGAGAAGTACTTCTTACAGGTGAGTGAAATTACAATCAACTTCGTTTTGTGTCAAGACAATAGTTTATAAAAGTGGAGTGAAGTTCAGTGCGGTGCAAGGACTTGTTCCACAGATGGCGAAAAGATTAGGCTAGTGTTCTCGCCAAGGGTCTACGCTAATCACTATTTCAAGACATTGCAGTTAGACAAGAGATTCGAGAAAATGTCACATGTACCTGATGTCATGCAGGAATGAACACATAGCGAACAAAGTATGCAGTTAACGTTAACTCTCCATGTGCTCAAAGATAGAAGAAACAGCGATTAACAGAAGATGAACACTAGTGTATTTACACAGTGTTGTATTTAACATTATAATGTGTCATTTCAGTGTTCTATACATGTAGCTATACTCCATGTTGTAATTACATCCTCTACACCACATATGGCCACATGTGCATTTAGCCTATTTGGGTAGGAATATGCAATAAAGTTCATTTATCCTAAGTTAGTAACACTTTTTCTTTTATTTTTAATTCCAACATGTAATCACCAGACGTGGTGGGGACACACTCAAGTTTTTTCAACTTATATTAATGCCGCCACCAACACAGGGGACAAATACACGACAGGACAATACTCATTTACACCTGAGCTAAGTGAGGAAAGCCGTGTTTTAAAAGTGCCTTTGATTCCTGCAGTGGAGGCACACGGAGGAGAACATCACCTTCCGGGTAGAAGTGGCGACCCTGGGGTATGTGGGGTTCGGGATCTCACCTACAGGAGACATGACGGGGTCTGACATCGTCACTGGGTTCGTCACGGAACAGGGAGACACGTTTTTCTACGTGAGCAGATTTTGTCGTACAAATGCATCATATATACAAAAGTCACGGGTTCTTTTCTCAGCACATGGAACACCAGTGTGGAAGTGGTCTTCAGCAATGCACTTTCAGTCTGGAACATCCGTGGCTTTAATGTAAAGGGTGAAACGCCCCCCCCCCAACGTACTTCAAAATATGCTTGAAGCATGGTCTGACAGGTACTGCTAAGTATCATATAACTGTGATACAATATTACTCCGTATGAATAATAAATCTGTACGCAATAACTACATATCGTTGATCCATGTAATATGTTCTATTACAAGCATAGAGCGAATGCCATATTGCCATGTTAATAACTTTAGGAAAATCCCAATGCGTAAATCGACCAACACATGCAACGTATGTTTTACCATATTCTAAGACTTTAAAATTATATGTGAATTCTTACGAACAGGACCGTTACGCCACGGCCCGAGCCCCGCCCACTGTAGACGCCAGTCAGGACTGGACGTTAGAAGCGTCAGGAGAGAACGGCACGCACACCTTCCTGCAGTTCTCACGGAACCTCGTTCTCTGTGACGACACGGACAGGAGCATCAAGGTAAGGATTTAACTTACTAGAATCTGATACTGATGTGATTTAGGTCATTACCACGTTATCTGTTTTGATTTTGTGGACTAAACACCATTCCACTCGAAAATTAACACAGTTTTACAGGAATGAATTTGTAATAAACTAAATCTATATATTTTAGTATACTATATACGGACAATATGTTTAGGCAGGCTGAGCATCTGTAGTAGGAATTTGCCCTTTCGCAGTATCGTCTATCTATACTGAACACAATTTTGCCACAAAGATCCCATCCTATACGTACTTACAAGCACTGTTCTTCAGGCTGGCACGACCCGTGTGATCTGGGCGTGCCACGAGCAGGACCCCCCGCACGACACGGCGCTGATGTACCACGGGGAGACCCGGGGAGCACGCAGCCTCATGCTGCTGGACGGGACCGGACACACGGACAGGGACATGCCGGCAGACGTGCAGAAATTGGACTTCAGAAATGATGCAAGTGGAGACAACTCTGTCTGACCATTGCTATTTCTAACACCGACGTTCAAAATAGAACGGGTGGTTCGACGCGTTCGATCTGGAACCACCTGTTCTATATTTCGAACACATCGGCGTTGGAAATAGAACAGGTGGTTCGACGCGTTCGATCAGGAACCCCCTGTTCTATTTCGAACACGGAACTAGAACAGGTGGTTCGAAGCGTTCGATCGGGAACCCCCTGTTCTCTTTGGAAGACGTCGGGGTTCGAAATAGAACAGTTGGTTCGGCGCGTTCGATCTGGATTGTTCATAAGTTTGTCTCTCGTGAAATTTCCAAAAGGCTGTAGTGCTAGCTCAATCGATATAGTTAAATAACATGTTTTAGAAATTATTACCCTTTCCAGTATGCCATCCCCGAGAACCGAGTCACAAACTACCTGTACAGGGGCTTCAAGATCCCGGACTTCGGAGGGAAGAAGCACGTCATAGCGGTATTCAATTATCTCACTTTAGCCGTTAAAAGTGCTCAATATGATACTCTATGGCTTCAAAACATGTTTGCAAGTGGCACAAAAGCGTACCATGTATTATCGTTATGATTTTGCAGTGGATGTAATCACCTAGACCTTGGTGGAGACCAGTACACTCTCTTGATACATTGATTGATAAGTGAAATTATGTTAATCACAGCCTTATTTGTCTTGTAATAAAAGAGACAAAATAGAACAGCCAAATTTACAAAAGCACCTAATATTTCATTTCATCAAGGTATGACTATGAGGTTAGTCTCCAAGCAGATCCTAGGATGGCAGACAGTATCAAATTGGCCAGACAGTATCCACTTGCCAGAGGGGTTCCATAGATTAGTATGAGGTCCGAACTCTTGTCATTTGCCGCTTTCTCCCCCAGTTTGAACCAATAGTCCAGCCCGGACACGAGTCCTTGGTGCACCACATGTTTCTGTACGCGTGTCTGAAGGACCTGGACCCGGACATGTATGACGGCGTGCAGCACCTCCGCCACTACAGAGGGTTTCCCGCCGACTGGAACTCGTGTAGGATCACTGTTATAGCCTGGGACGTCGGCGGTACGGTAAGTTACAAACAAACAAACAAACAAACAAACAAACAAACAAACAAACAAACAGACATGTATGTCGGGGTGCAGCACCTCCGCCACTACCGCGGATTTCCCGCATACTGGATCACTGTCATAGCCTGGGACGTAGGTGGTACGGTAAGTTACAAACAAACAAACAAACAAACAAACAAACAAACAAACAAACAAACCAACAAACATGTATGACGGCGTGCAGCACCTCCGCCACTACTGCGGCTTTCCCGCCGACTAGAACACGTGTCGGATCACTGTCATAGCCTGGGACGTAGGTGGTACGGTAAGTTACAAACAAACAAACAAACAAACAAACAAACAAACAAACAAACAAACATGTATGACGGCGTGCAGCACCTCCGCCACTACAAAGGGTTTCCCGCCGACTGGAACACGTGTAGAATCACTGTCATAGCCTGGGAAGTAGGTGGCAAGGTAAGTTACAAACAAACAAACAAAAAAACAAACAAACAAACATGTATGACGGGGTGCAGCACCTCCGCCACTACAAAGGGTTTCCCGCCGACTGGAACACGTGCAGGATCACTGTTATAGCCTGGGACGTGGGCGGTGAGGTAAGTTACAAACAAACAAACAAACAAACAAATAAACATGTATGACGGCGTGCAGCACCTCCGCCACTACAAAGGGTTTCCCGCCGACTGGAACGCGTGTAGGATCACTGTCATAGCATGGGACGTAGGTGGTACGGTAAGGTACAAACAAACAAACAAACAAACAAACAAACAAACAACAAACGGGTATGACGGGGTGCAGCACCTCCGGCACTACAAAGGGTTTCCCGCCGACTGGAACGCGTGTAGAATTACTGTCATAGCCTGGGACGTAGGTGGTACGGTAAGTTACAAACAAACAAACAAACAAACAAACAAACAGGCAAACAAACAAACAGACAAACAAACGATCTACAAAGATTCAGTATGAAGGTTCATCTTTGTTGGTACAAGTCATTATGAAGTAAAGGCTATTTAAACTTCATCTCCAACACTAGAATTAATTCGGACTTAAATTTTCGACTGACTCCGTCAACCTTGTTCACGGAATTGACCCGTCTGCTCTTAGAAAATTCACTCTTAGTTTTTAGATAAAGTTTAGTCTTTGCTAAAAAGATTCCAATTGCAATGGTTATTTTGTACCCAGCTTAATGCTAAGGCCACATTTCCAAAGCGGATGATGTGAACTGAAGCTAGGAATCTGTTTGCCTCAAACAGGGCACCCATTACCCGGAGAACGTGGGCATGTCCCTCGGCGGTCCTGGCGACCCGAAATTCCTTCTCATGGAGACACACTACAACAACCCACAGCATAAGAAAGGTAAGACAAGAGTGCTAGTGGCACAGCATTTTATAGCACCCAAAAAGCCTGTATTACTAGCTTTACCTTAACATTTTTTTACACCGCTAGTTTGAAGAAGATCACAAATACCTTTCTTACAGCATTTAAGTCATGAGTTACTGGTAGTAGATTATGTAATGAGTCTCCAACTCAAAAAAGAAATTGACATCACCGGAATTTTCGACTGAATCTCTCAACCGGGACGGGGGGCGGTACCGACTTCGGACGAACTTTGACCCAGTGTTTACGCCACAGTGCGAAAAATCACATGTCTACAGCACGTGGGTCAGATAGCTGCTGAAGACCGAGATATTTCCATTAAGTAAATTTGTTTCTGAGTTGGAAAACAGTTAATTTTTCACTATATATCTTTATCATATATCTTTCTCATGATCACAGGTATAAAGGACAACTCTGGTCTCCGGCTACTGTACACCTCAAACCTACGGGAGCACGACTTGGGGTTCATGCAGCTTGGCATGGAGGCGATCGGCTGGACACAGATCATCCCTCCTGGGAGTCAGGCCTTCGTCAGCGTCGGAACCTGCTATCCAGACTGTCTGGAGAAGGTGACGTTGTCCAGTGTCTAGCTGTGCCACAATACGTACTCGTATTGGTTTATTGCCACACAGAAATGTTAGTTGATTGCAATATTACTACTGCAATATTGCAATATAAGGGAGTTACTAGTTTCACTTCTAAATCGTTGCGTTCCGCTATTATTGCCTGCCACATGGTTCCTTGCATTCTTGGAAGGTCGTACTTTGGAACGACACTTTACGGGACTTTTCTGACTCCATCTAGATGTAGAATTGGTACCTGGTTGCAGTTTGGGATGTGAATAAAGGCAGTGGAAGGAGAGGGGTGGGCTCCACCTTCCAATATCGTGTCCTAGACACAGTGGATCATAACCCACTTCCCCTAAGGTATCAAAAAGGCTATGGGACTTCTTTTACCCTTTGCACTGTCTAACAAGATTACTTGGGCTTTGTTTTATTTTTCGCGTGTTTTTAGGCTATTATATCAGAGTTTCTTTTTGTACTGATATCTTTTTCTTTGCCAGCCCACTAAAAGAAACCAATACAAAAGAAAGCCCGATAAAAAAGCCTAAAAACACGCCCAAAAATCCAAAGACCATACCTCTGCTTGGAGAGGATAAGAAGAAGCTTTTTTTCCACAGGCCATGGAGGAAGCGTCCATAGACAAGGTCAACGTGATCGGCGTGCATTTCCACGCCCACCTGGCGGCCAGAAAGATGCGGATACGCCACGTGCGGAACGGAGTGGAACTGCCGTGGCTGGGGAACGACGAGAACTTCGACTTCAACTTTCAACAAACCGTCAGGCTGCAGGAGGAACGACAGATTTTGAAGGTATGTCCAACTTATGTTGCTCTTTGTTTCATTACAGAAAGTTAAGAGAAACACGTATTTATTGATGTTAGTACTGGAATTTCAAATTGAACGCATGGAACAGTTGATATGTACAGTACTTTAGATAGTAGTTTGCTGAGGCGAACTCGTCTGAACTAAAGATATCGTCTTAATAAAGAGTAGCTATGTCAAATGTATAGAATAAGTACTCACTATCAGGAGTGCCTAATAATAACCTTGTAACCATTTTTGTCTGTTCTAGGGCGACTACCTAATTGCTGAGTGCACCTACAACACCACTGACAGAAAGAAGGTTACATACGTAAGTTTTACATACTTATCGTCATAACCATGAGATAATACTACAGTTGTTAACTTCATTGTGGCAGCTGCAAGTGATTTAAGTTGAATGTTCAGCGCTCAGGGCCAAAGAAAGCTCTTAAGCTTGTTCGTAAGTCTTATCTTAATACTAGTAGTATGTACCTTAACCTTCCTACCGCCTATGTTTCCCCAAAGTTATTCTACGGCTACTAGCACTACTTCAACTCTGCCTACATACATGTAAGACAAACCTTTGTAACTTTTTGCCATAAGGGTGGCATGAGCACACAGGATGAGATGTGCCTTGGCCACATCCTGCACTACCCGCGCCTGACGCTTAGGCGGTGTAAGAGTAACCCACACGAGTCGGCGTACCTGGCAGCGCTCGGGGCGACAGGGGTCACCTTCAGGTAATGTTACGGCAAATGGAACACGCGTTCTGTTCTAAGAGCGTCAGATCGAACACGATTCGGGTTCGATTTTTCTAAAGAATGTTAGATAGAATCTGATTCGGGTTCTAAAGAAAGTTAGATCGAAATTAAAGATTCAGCATTGGGTTCCATTTTGACCACCGTGTATCGAGACACTACACCAACCCACACTTCATAGATTTAAAATAAAATAAGGTAACATGTACGTTGTAATAATTCAGTCAAGGATGTATTCACACTGTATAATGAGATGTGCATTTCTGTAATTCTTATCGGGAACTTCATTTTGTATCAAAGTGACAAATTTGTTTTAAACGTTTTCTTTTGTTTCCTAATGTGTTACAGCAAGGCCAAAAACGTCTACGGCAGGAACCTGCGGAAACTACTGCACACCGTCACATGGACCGAGGAACTCAGGCAGAAACTCCAGGTACGGACCAAAAGATGGAAAAATGTCAACAGTCAACATTCGTGAAGAGTTGGCGGCCTAGTCGTCCTATACACATGTACAACGCTAAAAGCGCTTTGTGTCTAAAGAGAGCCGTAGTCGAAACTGTTTGTAGATCGAGTTGAAAATGTGATGAAATATTTCAAATCTTTCTCGTTCTTTACTCATTTCTTTAGGAAGTACAGAGAAGCGGGCAGACGTCTGCCATCTGCCTGAACCAAGACGCCAGCTTTGAGACATTTAACCAGGTACGCGCCTAACATTCTGCCTCATATATTTCAGTAAGTCTAGATGTCCTATTGCAATGGTTACTTCTTGAAGGTAGTGAGTTAGTAAGGATCGTGTAACACTGGGGGGTTTATAGGCGCTACCAACTGACCCGGCAAGGGGTCTAGACCTTTTAGCTGAGAGGTTAGAGCGTCTGGTTATGAAGCTCTGGTGCCCGGGAGGTCGTGAGTTCGAACCCCGGCCCGGGACCAGAAGGGTTTTTACTGGCTCCTAGTTCTTACAATCGTATGAATTCAGTAAATTCTGATTTGTTATGACTATTTAACATATTCTACCACCGATAAATATGTATCTACATCTATAGGTATCTCTGTTTCTCAATACACTAGTTTAACCCTTTTTTCAGCAAAAGGTCGCCATACGAGAGCCACCACCGGTAGGTCAGGCTATCTACATGTATATCTGTAGGTATATCTATTTCTCTAAAGCACTCATTAAAGCCTTCTCCATTTTTTATCTTAAAGCAAAAGGTCGCCATACGAGAGCCACCACCGGTCATTCTTCAGCCATATGAGGAGCCTGACGTCTGTAACGCTAACACACCACGTGAGTACACAACATTGATAATTGCAATGCCAACGTCTGCCGCAAGGTGGCGTACCAACAACGGCTATTACTTACCTTTGCCAAGAAGGTTGTTTTTGGTAGCCTTTTCTGTGTGTTCGTCTGTCTGTGTGTCTGTCTGTTTGTAAATGCAATAACTCGAGAAGGCTTTGATGGATTATCTTGATATTTGTGGTGGGTTTTCCTTTTGATAAGGCCTCGACATGATTAAATATTGGGCCCCCTCGCTAAGATAAGATTTCAATATTTGCAAAATATGCTTCTTGAATCACCACTTACCAGCATTTGCTGAAATCAAGAGTGGAAGAAAGAAAGAATCAAGAAGGAAGAAGACGAAGAAGCACCACCGGAAGCTGAATCTGTCACTTTGGCGACGTGAGGCACGGAAGACCAGATGGTGAAATGATCAGAAGCAGAAGCTTATTATAGCTACTCAATCATCAACAAGAAATATGGTATTGAAAATGTGCAAACAACAAAGTTTATTGTTTTGTAGCGTTGTGGCATATATACACACTGGTTGGGTGTGGATAACGACAATAAGAATGCAATCGTGGGTATGGTAGCTAGTCTTCAAATATTACAATTAAGACTGAGATCTAGACACAGTTCACATGCTAGTCAGATCAGTTTCGTGCGAATATCCTCTACAGACTCAATCTACTGGCTCGTGTATGACATGTTAATGCTGTATGTTTTCATGTTACATCTTGAAAATGCAATATTTGATATTATTATATTAATAGTATTAAAAATCTTTGCAATCATCACCTCTAATTGTCTGTAGTTAATGACAAATCTATAAAACATAGTACTACTAACTAAATATCAGCTTCCTTATCCTTGAGTGAGAACACACTTCGGCTTATTGTAACAGGATGGGATTCAACCGGGATGGCTAACGTCTTTCCTAACAGAGAGATGCTTGGAGATTGCGTAAGTGCTGTTCTGCATCTCCCCTGATCGCCTAACAGTTGTTTGTGTCGCTTGGGTGAATAATGCAGGATGAGTCTGTTTGGTCTTCTAGGTTGATCCGCTCACGTCATCAGTTCATTGCTGGGGATTAAAAAGATCATAATGTTATTGTATGTTATTGTTACTAATTCCAGGTATTTTATTTTAGTTTAATACAATTGCAACGAGGCAATACAATAGCCACCCAGGCAGCACGGCTGATATCGGGTGTCGAAAGATACACAAATTAAACATAACAACACAATATAACTTACAAATATGCTAACAAGTACCACATTAGGCTAAGATCCATCAATAACAATATAAACTTTCTGACAGACTTAAGTGCAAGGCTTCCTATAAAAGTATTCAAAGAAGATAATATACAGTTTTAGAGGTCAGAGGTCATAAACAATAATACAACATGTGAGGAAAAGTCCAGGTAGACTAGTGCTGCGCCCTTGGGCCCACAACTGATGGATATTCTAGCTCTCAGAGTCTCAAACGAAGTCCCTTATATTGTCTTCTACACACATTGGTATGTCTCTCTTTGAAAATACACAAGGGAAGTATTTGATAAAGAGACTGATGGAGAAATTGAAGGAGGTAGAAAGAGACAGGAAGATAAATAATGAGTGTATTTCTTTTCATTTTTCCCATTGCCATTTCAGCATCAGTACATCACGTTATATCAGAGAGTTTTCTTTGTATAGGAATTTTGAGGCAATCATACCGACCAGATGCGGTGCCCTATGTCCCCAATCTTATTTTAAAGATGCTTGCATATTCTACACATAAACTGCACTTGCATGATTCGATCATAGATACTCACCCATTTTTACCTATTTTGTCAATGTCCTTGTCAAGTTTTCCCTCAAGACAGAGTTCCATCATACAGCTCTTCGCTTCTTCCACTGTGGCAATGGTAGACAGATGATAACAATTATTAGTGGAGAAATATCATTGATATAAATTGTCAGTTTGGATGATGATAATTTTTATGACACGTGTAATTCTGTTTCGCCGTGATCTCGATTGGGAGTCATCAATGTTAATTGTTGAAACATCAATTGTCTAGTTACATAGTTTATAATATTACAATTTTACCTTCGTAGCTTCATAGAAGGAAAAAAGAAAACGTCTTATTTGTTTTTCTTCTTCTTCTCCAAAAGGCCTAAGGCCAATGACCTGGACCAGACGTCACTATGATTATAATGACGTCACTATGATCATAATGATAGCTGGTGCCGTGGCAGACCCTGCAGCGTTGGTTTAGGTTATGTATGTATATAATGTGGCCCGACAGAGTTGGAGAGGTATGAATTGCTGTATAAAGTAAGAATATACAGAGCAGTAGATTTTTTAACGGGTGGGGTTGGTTAGATCATGTGAAGTCTTTGCAAATGTTAAATTTCTACTTCATAACTTGTCTAGTATCTAGTCCTTACTGAGTATAGCGTGTGGACAAGGTCTCCTATATCCCAGAAGCCTTCTTGATTTCACACGTCACTCCTCAGAACGCGTCTGATTGGTCAACCGCCAAAGGTGGGCGTGGCTAAAAACTACGCTCTATGGGTTTTAGTCGACTGTTGATATCGGGTTTCATTCATGACCACTGGGCGTTATTGTAGACATATCACATTTCAGCAAGATGAAATACCGTACTAAAAAGAAGCTCTTCGCGTCTGTACGCAAAGCCACGAAGTGTCATAACGTCGCGAGTCCAAATACTGCTTTTATTGCTGTGGGAGTGATCACTATGATCGTGATTATAAAGCTTCTATTTTGGTAGGCGAAGGACGGGCGCTAAAATATACGGTGAGGATATCTTACTTATGGTTATATGATATTGTATGTATGCATTCTATCGCATGCGATTTGCTACTCTCCAAGCAGAGGTTGTGGGGGAATGATCGTTAGCTTTTTATATATGGCCGTTTTTTGTCGCAAGGCTGGCGACCTTCTCTGGCTAATGGCTACTGCCTGGCCAATTTGATACTGTCTTTTTGTCACCGAAAGGGATCTGCTTGGAGATTAGCGATTTGCGTCTGCAAGAATGAAGTAACTTGCATAATCATCAGTAACTAGAACACCTTGTATTAGCCTAATATAGTATCCTTGTATGTTCCTTACGTATGTATGTCTAAGTCAAGCAGTGTATCTTTTGTCTACATTTTTCTACATATGTTTGTTATGTGTCTGTTAAGTCTTGACCTGTACCTAGCCCGTCGTGGCATGAATGTACAATAAAGGTATTTCATTCATTTCATTAAATCTATGCACAGATAACATATGTTGCCTTTCGTAAGAATGGGGTCCAGTTTTGTATAGCCCTTTGTAGCAAGAGAAAAAAACATTCCTCGGTTGACTGGAGCCTTGTTTTTTTCTTTTCTCTGTTGAACAGTGCCCGAGGCCGCCATCGCCCGAATTCCTGATCTACAATCGTAAAGAAACGCCGCGAGTTTGAATACTGGATTCAGAAAACAGACGGACCTGTTGTACACAACGCCCTTCTCAGTCCAGTTAAGTATTCCTGGACACAACATGCAACTACCAACACCATTTACGGTCTCCCACGACTGTCCGAAAAGCTCACCCACCGACGGGCGAAGTTGGAAGGAGTCATTACTGCAGAGCCAAACAAGAAGTTAGTTTCTACCGTCCTCCTGTGGAAACCAAGGGGCAGAGTGCATTCCAGAAGTTGACACTGGTATCAATTTTGATTGTTTAGAAAAAGCAATGTTAGACAAGGCTCTAATGAAAGAAATTTGGAAATGAGTAAAAAGAACAAGAACTCATGCCTCGACACTTGGTGGTATCATCTGATGTACCTCTGACCTCCAACTACATTTGCTATTGCAATAGTTCCTTTTATAGTTTTGTCAATTGCGAAACCTGCAATGTTAGTTGTGATAAATCACAAATATAGAAATCAGTAGAAATTGGTATCAGGTTGTATTTTTATGTAGCTATTAAATTATTACAACGAATCTCAACGGTTATATTGTAGTGGTGTATATGTTGTAGTTATTAAGTAAATAGTGTGTGGTTGTTATATTGCAGTGTTGTATATATTGTAACTAGCACGTACGTTTTGTTAGGGTTTGGTTATACTTTATAAAAGGTGACAGCCAGTGCATGTTTATATAAGCATGTCTTGCTAAAAGTAACAATTTTAAGCAGTAATCACAATAAATAACTGACATGTAATAAACTTAATTATGCATTTCTTTCATTCTGAAAAACAATGATGAATACATACAAATGAACTTATATTCTCGCAGCCACTTTTACAATAAAGGATGAAGATATTTTACAAAACGTTCATGGGTTTGAGTTAATGATTTCCAAGATGGTCGGTAGAGATTTTCCCCCTGACGAAGCCTTATTTATTTTATTTATTTATTTATTTTATTTCATTGAAATTGTAACAATGCAATACACGCGGAGCACAGCCAGCTGTTGCTGGTGATGAGTCCCGCACATAGAAACAGATACTGGACAGGCAATGCCCATTTTCACTTGAGTCTAGTGGGGAAAGTGGTGTAAAGTGCCTTTCCCAAGGGCACAAGATCGGTGGCATGTCAGGACTCGAACCCGGGACCTCTTGATTCCGAGTCGCGCACGCTGCCGTTGCGCCACACGACACCACACCTGTAGCAAAACCTATCATTTATGATGTGTGTTTTTCGTCAAAAACGCACGTGGGAGTGGTCCGTGTCATGATCTGCAAAATTCCACGTCTATCACTATCATAATAATAACCGGTGCTGTGGCAGACACCCTGGGGCAGTGGTTTAGATTATACTGCGGCCCGACAGTAGGTAAAGAAGCTGGTCATCATATCATACGAAAGTTTTAAAACTTACGAATGAGCAGAGCAGTAGTTTTCTTCGGGCTAGACCATATGAAGTCTTTGCAAATCTTTGTCTAGTGTCTAGTTGCCCGTTATTGAAAATAGCGCTAGCACAAGCTTTCTTATTTTCAAGAACCCTCAAGGCTTCTTCGTACGTCACTCATCAGAACGCGTCTGATTGGTCAACCGCCAAAGTGGGCGTGGCTAAAGATACGCTCTATAAATTTTAGCCGACCTTTAATATCAGGTTTCATTAATGATCACTGGGCGTCTGTACACATATCACATAACAGCAAGATGAGATACCGTACTAATATGATGAAGATCTCCGCGCATCTACGTAGGGCCAATGCGCGTAGGGTCAACAGGTCTAAACTCGGCAACCTCAACCCGATTGCCATGGCTTTGGCTGTGTTCACTATCATTGTGATCGTAAAGCTTATCTAGCAGGCGAAGAACGGGCGGTTTTCATATGGTGAGGATGTCTTACTCATGGTATCGTATATATGTATTCTTTCCTACGTATTCTGTGTCTGTATAAATGAAGTAATTGGCTATGAACGTACTATCATGAAACTTCATCTGTGTTGGTAGTTACATGTTTAAAGTTAAACTTTTGGTCCAAAACAAAAAAAAAGTTCTCTCACCGAGAGCTTTCGACCAGTCACTCTGGTCTTCCTCAGTGACTGGTCGAAAGTTCGAGGTGATCATGAGAGAACTTTTTTGTGTTGGACCAAAAGTTTTAATTTTAGACTATGAACGTAAACTTGTATGATCATTGAAACTGTGTAAAGATCACAATATACATGTTGCCTTTCGTAAGAAAAGGGGGTTCAGTTGTGAATATCCCTTTGTAGTAAGAGAAAAAGCACTCCTCGGTTAACTGTGGTATCCTTTTATTTCTTTTCCGTCAGGCTGTTTACACCAAAGTGGCCGCCGTCGACTCCATCCCTTCCTTTCGCTCGTGAAGTTGAAAGGGTGAGTTTGAAAATGATTCAGAAAACCACCGGGCCTGTTGCACACAACGCACTTCTCGGCCAAGAAAACGTCCTTGAAGTTTCACCAGAGCCAGCGATCAGACTGTCGTGTCTCGACGCCTGAGGGGACTGCGATCAGATAGTTGACCCACACCCACCCGATCTGACTAATTCTTACCGGCTAAGGGACACAAAACACAATGGACAGACAACTGTACATGTACGTACTGTCCTTAAATGGGGCTAACTCCTCGCGCACTCAGAAACTCTGGCACAATCATCATCATCATGATCATCAATCATCCTCCGAAGAGGTGGAGCAGACAAAGTTTGATCTCCAGAACTGCCTGTCGTTCATTGCTGAAACAAGTTCCAGGCCCTCCAAGCCTGTTTTCAGTTTCTATAAGTGGCACAATCAGTGTACCTAAAACCCGAACTAAGAGACTTAGTAACTCTTTCCTTCATCCCGTAGTTCGTCTCTACAACAAGACAATTGATTAGTAGTAAAACGTTAAACTTTATTCCAACCCACAATTTACAGAGATCAAATTTTCGGCGACCGCTGTCGCCTTCATCAGGATAATTAATGACCAATCACTTCATAACGTGATCTCGCGAGAGTTACGGTTTACAAACACGTGACCTTATTTACACGAGACTTTAATGATACGTGACGTAAGCAATTGATCAAAAGTCTCGTGTGAATAAGGTCGACAGTGGTCGCCAAAAATTTGATCTCTGTAAACTGTGTGTTGTAATAAAGTTTAACCTTTTACTATGATTACTACCAACACAGATGAACTTTCAAGACAATTGATTAGTATTACCATAAGCACTTAGTTAAAGGCACTAGGTAATGGCATACTACTAGTATGTATGGATTTTAATTGTGTAATGGTTTTCTAAACGTTTTAAGGTGAGTCAAACGATGTTAGGAGGAATGTAACAAATCATTATTTCAATGTGATCTGTACTTGTAAATCCTATGTAATAAGAAAACGTAATAATCTTAAGAAAACGTCTTATTTGTTTTTCTTCTTCTTCTCCAAAGCCCTAAGGCCAATGACGTCACTATGATTAAACTCACGTCACTATGATCATAATGATAGCTGGTGCCGTGGCAGACCCTGCGGCGTTGGTTTAGATTATGTATGTATATAATGCGGCCAGACAGAGTTGGAGAGTCTGGTCATCATGTATGTAAATTGTTGTGTTAAGTAGGTATAAACAGAGCAGTAGATTTTTGGGGGTGGTTAGATCATGTGAAGTCTTTGCAAATGTTAAACTTCTACTTCATTATCTTGTCTAGTGTCTAGTCCTTACCAAGGAGGTCCTTTTTGAACCTCCTTGTCTTTACTGAGTACAGCGTCTCCTATTTCCAAGAAGGCTTCTTGATTTCTGCTGTCACTCATTGGGACGCGTCTGATTGGTCAACCGTCAAATTAGGTGTGGCTAAAGATGGTGTGACTCTATGAGTCAGGCTATGAGTTTTAGCCGACTGTGGATATCGGGTTTCATTCATGACCACTGGGCGTCTGTAGCCAACATATCACAATTCAGCAAGATGAAATACCGTACTTATAAGAGGGTCTCCGCGACTGTACGTAGAGCCACCAGTTCTAAAGTCGAGAGTTCAAAGTCGGCTTATATTGCTGTGGCGGTGGTGACTGTGTTCCTGATAATAAAGCTTCTGTAGCAGGAAAAGGACTGGCGCTGAAATATATGGTGAGGATATCTTACTTGATTTGATTTGATTCACTAGTATTGAAATTGCAACAGTGCAATACAAGCGGAACAGAGGCAGCTGTTGCTGGTGTTGTGTCCCGCACATAGAAACGAATACTGGGCAGACAATACTCATTTCCACTTGAGTCTAGTGGGGAAAGTCGTGTAAAGTGCCTTTCCCAATGGCACAAGATCGGTGGCATGTCAGGACTCGAACCCAGGACCTCTTGATTCCGAGTCGCGTACGCTGCCATTGCGCCACACGACCCCACTATGGTTAGTATGATCTCGTATGAATTCTATCCTACGTATTCTGTAATCATTGAAACTGTGTAAAGATCACAATACTAGTATATGTTGCCTTTTGTACGAAAGGGGTTCAGTTGTGAATGTCCCTTTGTAGCAAGAGAAAAAAACGCTCTTCGGTTAATTGTGGGCTTCTTTTTTGTTCTATGTATAACAGCAAAGCGCGACTGCCGTGCACTCAATTCCTGATCTTCAATCGTGAAGAAACGTCGTGAGTTTAAAATATGATTCAGAAAACCACCGGGCCTGTTACACACAACGTACCTCTCGAACAAGCGATGTCTTCCAACAAGTATCACCAGAGCCAGGACTGTTTTGCTTTAGCTTTGACTTGTCTGACGGAACTGCGAACAGAACCTGCACCCACCCAATCTAACGCGTCCTTGCCAGACTGAGGATCACAAAGGACAAGGACAATTTCTGCATGTACTGTCCTCAAATGGGGGTAACTCTAGCCTTGAATATTCAACTGTCAAAAGTACAAGTAGTTGTGACATTTGAGAATCAGCTAAGAAAGTAGCTCAACTTTATTCTGCGTAATATTATGCTAACGTTGTCAACAGAACTAGGACGGTTGAAAGAAAGTATTTGTCACGGTTTCGATTTGTGTACTAAAAGGTAAAGAAGATGTTCTATATTTTCGTTTACAATATTTATTATTTGTACAATATTGTCAATACAGTATACATGAACACTTGTTTCGCAAAGTATCTCATTGAAATGTTGTTGCGATAACAATACAATTGTACGTTTTGACGTTTTGCTCGCTTTGTCTTCCAATCTGTCAACCTTAATTTAACATGGAATGATTGAAAATGATGCTGCCAAAGGGGTGCTGTTATGATAATAGAGGTTATTCACTTAGGTACAAAATTGTTCAGAAACCAGTATAAAGTAGAGATGATTCATTCTTCAAGCTAGCACACCACAGCCGTCTCTCATTGAGATATCTGGAGCAGCATAGTTCCCGTTTAGAACTTCTATTCAGTCTGACACATCCTCTTTCATCATGTATGCTTCTTCAATTGTACAGAGCTATAGGCTAAATGACACAAGTTGTCCAGAAAGTTGTGCAGTAAAGAACATATTTTGGCTTGTAAACATGTGGCTGTTGGTATAGGTCTACAGTGTATTACCTTTTAAACATCCCCATTTCTTGCAAAGAGGTACCGGTACTGGTACAAGAGACAACCCACTATTATAAAACAGGTTGGACAGCGGTGCAGTTACCTAACACAAGCTTAAGATTGTGTAACAGTCATTTAGAAAGAAAACTGGTAGGCTGTTTTGTAACTGGTCTATTATGAATGGCCAGAGTAGCTGATAGAATATGCCTCGGACAGAAAAATGGACTGAATGTATATCTAAGGCATGAAATACTGTTCTATACATTGCGGAGTTTTTATACACAGGTTCATTTAAAGTCTGTTTAAACCCTATGTGAAACGAATAAACGGAGCAGTAGTTTTTTTTTTTTGGCTAGACCATGTGAGATCTCTGAAAATGTTAAATTTCTACTTCATCATCTTGTCTAGTGACCCCTTACTGAGTATAGCGTTAGCACAAGCTTTCCTATTTCTGAGAAGGCTTCATAACTTCGGCTGTCACTCATCAGGACGCGTCCGATTGGTCAACAGCCAAAGTGGGCGTGGCTAAAGATCACTGTAACACTCTACCCGAGTTTTACCCGACCATAGATGTCATTTTCCTGCATGATAACTGGCCGTGTGTAGACACATCAGCGAGATGACAAGGAAACACCGTAATTATAAGAGGATGTCGTCGATAGTACGCAGAGCCACCAGTTCTACAGTTAAAAATCCCAGCATGGCTGCTCTTGGTTTGGGGGTGATAACTCTGCTCGTGATTATAAAGCTTCTATAGCAGACGAAGGACGGGCGCTTTTTCCTATGGTGAGGATGTCTTACTTATGTTATGGTTATGATGTCGTATATATGCAATCTCTGTCGTATATTGTAAGAATGAAGTGATTGACTATGAACGTTAAAGTTGCATGATCATTGGAACTGTGCAAAGATCACAGCATATGTTGCCTTTCGTAAGAAAAGGGGGTTCAGTTGTGAATAGCCCTTTGTAGCAAGAGAACAAATACTCATCGATTAACTGTGTTTTTTGTTTTTCTTCTGTTTAACAGCAAAGTTCCCACGATCACCGTCGACCCCACTCCTGTTCATGGCTGTTGAAGAAAAGCCGCAAAGCAGAAAAACACCTACCCTGGAGCCCAGAGTCACCGCAGGGCTTATAGCTTACAGTCGGGCCCGCAAAGCGACTGGACGACGGAGTTTCACAGCCTGTCCTACACAACGCACCCCCCCCCCTAAACATTAGCATGGTTGCATATGGCGGTGCCCAACTCCGTTTCTGTGGCCTTGGGCCACACAATTGTGTCACTACAGCAGGGGGCTAGTCCACTGGTAGTGGTGTGCGTCTAACTCCCATACTCCGTATGGTATGACTCGGCTGGGATCGAACTCACGACCTACCGAATGCAAGGCGAGCACTCTACCCACTTGGCCATTGCACCGGTACACAGCGCACTTCTCAGCCCAGTTAAGTATTCACCATGTATGGATAGAGCCAACAATGGAAATGTCTTTCTTCAACTCCTACCGAACTGCGAGCAGATCACTGACCTGCACCCTGTGACCCAATCTAACGAGTCCTTAATTGCCAGACTGAGGAACACAAAGAACAATGGACAATTCATTAGTGTATGTTCTTGTCCTTAAATGGGGGTAACTCTAACTTTAAGTATTCAGCTGTCACAAGTATGTAGTATTGTAGTATTGCAGAATCATCTCCAGTAGGAAAGTAGCTCATCCTAGCTCTATTCTGCACAAGATTAAGGTCATTTTGACAACATTATTAGGACCATGGAAAGAAAGCATAATGCCGTATTGAAATTGGAAATCTGTGTTAGTCCACTATTTGTTACGGTTGCTTTTTGTGGTCTAAAATGTAAAAAACAAAGCTATGCTGTATCTTTCTTGTAACGTATATAATTATTGTACAATATTGTCAATACAGTATACATGTGCACTTATTAGGGAAATGTAACTCATTGAAATGTTGTTGCGATAACAATAAAATTGTACGTTTTGACCGCTTTGTCTCCTAATCTGTCAACCTTAATTTAACATGGGATGTTTGCAAAGGACGCTCCCAAATGGGTGCTGTTATGATAATAGAGGGAGGGGCTTAGAAAAACATGATTACTCAATTAGGTACAAAATTGTTCAGAAACTAGTATAAAGTATAGAGTTGATTCATTCTTTAAGCCAACTTCTAGCACACAGTTGTCCTTTAGTGAGACAAATTCTAACAAATAAAAGTCTCATGTCTCATGACTTCTGGAGCGGCATAGTTCCCGTTTAGAACTTCTATTCAGTCTGACACATCCTCTTTCATCATGTATGCTTCTTCAATTGTACAGAGCTAGAGGCTAAATGACACAAGTTGTCCAGGAACATATTTTGGCTTGTAAACATGTGGCTGTTGGTATAGGTCTACAGTGTATTACCTTTTAAACATCCCCATTTCTTGCAAAGAGGTACTGGTACAAGAGACAACCCACTATTATAAAACAGGTTGGGCAGCGGTGCAGGTACCTAACACAAGCTTAAGATTGTGTAACAGTCATTTAGAAAGAAAACTGGTAGGCTGTTTTGTAACTGGTCTGTTATGAATGGCCAGAGTAGCTGATAGAATATGCCTCGGACAGTAAAATGGACTGAATGTATATCTAAGGCATGAAATACTGTTCTATACATTGCGAAGTTTTCATACACAGGTTCATTTAAAGTCCGCTTAAACCCTATGTGAAACGAATAAACGGAGCAGTAGTTTTTTTTGGCTAGACCATGTGAGATCTCTGAAAATGTTAAATTTCTACTTTATCATCTTGTCTAGTGACCCCTAACTGAGTATAGCGTTAGCACAAGCTTTCCTATTTCTGGGAAACCTTTATAATTTCGGCTGTGACTCATCAGGACGCGTCCGATTGGTCAACAGCCAAAGTGGGCGTGGCTAAAGATCACTGTAACACTCTACCCGAGTTTTACCCGACCATAGATGTCATTTTCCTTCACGATCACTGGTCGTGTGTAGACACATCAGCGAGATGACAAGGAAACACCGTAATTATAAGAGGATGTCGTCGATAGTACGCAGAGCCACCAGTTCTACAGTTAAAAATCCCAGCGTGGCTGCTCTTGGCCTGGGGCTGATAACTCTGCTCGTGATTATAAAGCTTCTATAGCAGACGAAGGACGGGCGCTTTTTCCTATGGTGAGGATGTCTTACTTATGTTATGGTTATGATGTCGTATATATGCAATCTCTGTCGTATATTGTAAGAATGAAGTGATTGACTATGAACGTTAATGTTGCTTGATCATTGGAACTGTGCAAAGATCACAGAGCATATGTTGCCTTTCGTAAGAAAAGGGGGTTCAGTTGTGAATAGCCCTTTGTAGCAAGAGAACAAATACTCATCGATTAACTGTGTTTTTTGTTTTTCTTCTGTTTAACAGCAAAGTTCCCACGATCACCGTCGACCCCACTCCTGTTCATGGCTGTTGAAGAAAAGCCACGAGAGCAGACAAACACCTGCCCTGGAGCCCAGAGTCACCGCGGGACTTATAGCTTATAGTCGGGCCCGCAAAGCGACTGGACGACGGAGTTTCACAGCCTGTCCTACACAACGCACTCCCCCCCATAAACATTAGCATGGTTGCATATGGCGGTGCCCAACTCCGTTTCTGTGGCCTTGGGCCACACAATTGTGTCACTACAGCAGGGGGCTAGTCCACTGGTAGTGTGTGTGTTTAACTCTCATACTCTGTATGGTATGACTCGGCTGGGATCGAACTCACGACCTACCGAATGCAAGGCGAGCACTCTACCCACTTGGCCATTGCACCGGTACACAGCGCACTTCTCAGCCCAGTTAAGTATTCACCATGTATCGATAGAGCCAACAATGGAAATGTCTTTCTTCAACTCCTACCGAACTGCGAGCAGATCACTGACCTGCACCCTGTGACCCAATCTAACGAGTCCTTAATTGCCAGACTGAGGAACACAAAGAACAATGGACAATTCATGAGTGTATGTTCTGTCCTTAAATGGGGGTAACTCTAACTTTAAGTATTCAGCTGTCACAAGTATGTAGTATTGTAGTATTGCAGAATCATCTCCATTAGGAAAGTAGCTCATCCTAGCTCTATTCTGCACAAGATTAAGGTCATTTTGACAACATTATTAGGACCATTGAAAGAAAGCATAATGCCGTGTTGGAATTGGAAATCTGTGTTAGTCCACTATTTGTTACGGTTGCTTTTTGTGGTCTAAAATGTAAAAAACAAAGCTATGCTGTATCTTTCTTGTAACGTATATAATTATTGTACAATATTGTCAATACAGTATACATGTGCACTTATTTGGGAAATGTAACTCATTGAAATGTTGTTGCGATAACAATAAAATTGTACGTTTTGACGTTTCACCCTCTTTGTCTTCTAATCTGTCAACCTTAATTTAACATGGAATGATTGAAAAGGACGCTCCCAGGGGTGCTGTTATGGTAATAGAGGGAGGGGCTTAGAAAAACAAGGTACAAAATTGTTCAGAAACCAGTATAAAGTAAAAATTTTTCAAACCAACCGACACACTCTAGCACACAGCAATGTCCTTCAGTGAGACAAATTCTAACAAATAAAAGTCTCAAGTCTCATGACATCTGGAGCGGCATAGTTCCCGTTTAGAACTTCTTTTCAGTCTGTCTTAACATCTTTCGCCTTGTAGGCTTCTTCAACTGAACAGAGCTAGAGGCTAAATGTCACGATTTCTCCAGAAACCAGGAAAAGGTCATATCGGGCTTGTAAACATGCAGGTGTTGCTATTAGGTCTATAGTGTATTACCATTTAAACACCCCCAATTTCTTCCAAAGAAAGACTGGAACAAAAGATAACCCTACCCGCTAAACAGGTTTGACAGCATTGCACTTACCTAACACGAGCTTGAGAAGATATTGTGCAATTATTTTCATTTACATTTCAATCACCTCAAAACAAGGCTCATACAAACCACCTGCATGTTTTGGGTTACATTAAGGAACTGTAGAGACTGATGTTTGTTCACCCTAGACTTAAATAGTTTATGGTTGTACCCATTCACAAGGAAGCTCGTTCCGTAGTGATGTAGTTCTAGGATTAGTGATACACTTTGAAAGAAACCATGCAGATCACACCCACCTTGTGCTGCTGTAGAGGTTTAGATATAACCCATAACAAGCATGACGATGCCTACAATCATGCCCAGTCCGAGCAACAAAGCAAAGAACTTCTGCATCGCGAACACAAAAGTTTAACGCTGTGTAGAACAAACCAGGGACCGGTCGGACTGTAGGCTGTTTTGTGTCTACTGGTCTGTTATGAACGGTCAGAGTAGCTGACTCAGTGGAATCCAGGTCACCCTGCAAGATGCTTCAGGGCAGAAAAATGGACCGAATGTATATCTTTGGCATAAAATACTGTTTTATATGTGTTCATTGCGGAGTTGTCATACACAGGTTCATCTAAAGTCCACTTAAGTCCTATGTGAAACTTGTGTCCATGGTTGATTTTCCTGTATGTGAACTGAGATTTTCGAGTAAAGAGTATTTCGGGCTGACTGATGACCCGGTTAAGGGGCAAAGGTTAACATTGTTTACGTGAAGATGGGTCAATTGATTCGGGGCAAAAGATAGTAGACTTTTTTCGACTTCTGGATTGCCAGGGCAAGCCTATCTGAGTATGCATCAGAACAAACAATTTAAGAGAGATGTGACCATTTCCAAAGTGGGGAAATGTGCTATTAGATTGGTCCACACTTATTTCTACTCAACTCAAATTTACAGAAAAAATACAAAAAATGAATACAGAGCCAGTATGTGTTTTCACATTTCGAAACTTCTATTTTATTGCATTTAATGAAAAGACATTATTACCGGCAATTTTGTACGAGCATGCATATACATACAACAAATTGATGATGAAAAAAAAAACTGCACACGACAAAAGTTGATACCACTGTTGATACCCAAGATGGCGACGTAAACAAAATCACGTGACCTATGACGTCATGCTCAAAGAGAGAATTGTTACGTGCAATTAGAAGCAAAACGACCTCAAATGGACATTTTAGATTCTGTATTATTACATTCTGATTATATGTTTATTAATAATATATATATTTAAAGCAACATATAACATGTATAATCTTCCCGAGGCTGCTTACAGCAAATTATAGATATATGCAATTATAGAATCTAAAATCAGATAGCGCTTACATGTAGCTATGCTTTTCAGAAAACGTGTTGTATGCAACACGGATTGCACGTTTAAGATGTGCTAGCCTTAAACTTTTTAAAATGTACTAGCCTTAAACTTTTTAAGATGTACTACTAGCTTTAGCCTTCTTTGCCTTTTTCTTTGCCTTCAGGGCAGCCACTAGCTTCTGCTCATTCTGGACTTTCTCCTGTTCTTCTAGCAGACCGCGCCCGATGTTCGGGTCCTCCCTCTGCTCGATGTATAATATTCCTGAATCTACTTACAGTAAATTATAGCTGTGTACTTATAGCAGATAAGATAGTGTACCATAAGATAGTAGAGAAAGCTTAGCAATGCTTCTCAGAAAAGAGACTGCGCTTTTTAAGGTGTACTAGCCAGCATTAGCCTTCTTCGCCTTCTTCTTTGCCTTCAGGGCAGCCACTAGCTTCTGCTCGTTCTTGACTTTCTCCTGTTCCTCCAGCAGACTGCGCTGGAAGATGTTCGCGTCCTCCTTCTGCGCGTCTCTGAACTCCATCGCCTCCCGAACTTCTCTCACCAGCTCCAGCCTCTCCACGTTATCCAGGGCGCGGAGAAGTTCCACGATGCGGTGGGGAAGGTCTGCAGAAAAAAAAAATTAGGAAAAATCAACAAGAAATCATAGCCTCTACCAGGCTTCGGAAGGCCAAATAGAGAGGTATGCTATCTGGCATGTTATCTCTCTATGTGGCCAATTTCTGCAGTACAACTGTTTCCAGCCGCCTTCCGAAGCCTGGTAGAGGCTAAGAAATGAGAGGTTCTAGATTTCCTGCTGGCTCTCCTGGTCAGATGCAACACACAGAGGCATTTGACCTCCTGTTATTCTGCCTGTCAAGTCCACCCCCCACCCCCCACCCACATGCTGTCAACCTACTATGGCACGGAGAAGTTCCACGATACGGTGGGGAAGGTCTGAAAAATTGGAAAAATTAAAAGAAAAAAAACACAGGAAATTTCATCCTTCTGGCACCAGTACAGGTGTATCATTAGCATATTTAATCAAATCTATTACATTGATGTACCTTATGTTTAACTTAATATGACTGTCCTTTGTTTATTTTTACTTGATAGCTAGGCTGTACTTGTTTTAATTCCATGTAGTGAAGTATGCCCATTAGCAAAGAAATAACGTAAACTGAAGCTAGTGAAAAAAGCCACTAGCAGGAAAAAATGTAAAATAATAATCCGATTGAACAATACAATGTACTTACTTTCCTTTAATATGGACGGAGAATAGACAACTCTTGTTAGATATTCCTCAAACTTATCGTCCGGCACTCCGGGTTCTGAAACATGTGTAACATTGAACATGTCACTCTCATACTGCCGATGGCTATTTTTTGATGGTAGTCTATTTTGCAACATTTAACATACTTAAGATGAATATGGGTCATTTTCTATGATCTTTTACAATGATCATACAGTTGAATACGCCAATACAGTACATCACAGCACAGCACAGTGTAATTATACGAGATCACAACAGGCTAGAAAAACTGTGATTAATTTACGTCTCTTTCAACACAACTCATAAGTTTTAATCATCAAACAGAACCCCCTCTCCGTTTCCCTCCGAAAGAGTCATGAATTGATGGTGACTCACTCCAATGTTTCTTGAACAGGTCAAAGATGGCGTCCTGTTCCTTCTTCGACAGTCTGTCCTGTATGAATGTGAACATTGGATCTGGAATGGAAACGGTTAATCATAATTATCATATAGCCGGGTGGCGTAGACCAATCAGAGGCCTCCGTTACCCGTGCTTTATTCTCCGATAAACCATGGCTCAGCCGTGCGTTATTCTCCATAAACCATGGGTGAAACCATAATGATATAGGGGTACACAGCTCTTTCTGTTAATATTCATAGCAGTTTCCTGGTCAGACAAAATTATGTTTTTTTTAAGCTTCATATAAACTAAAATGTGTGTGAGTATGAAATGTATATGTAAATAGATAGAATTTGAACGGGAGAGCAAAAACCATACTTATTTTGACACCCCTACAAAAAGTGGTATCGCCCACATCACCTGACTGAATCAGACCAGGGATCAGACGATTTATTTTTTTTGGTCCGCCATCTTGCCTTCTTGTGTCATGGAGAGTTTGCCTAATTTCTACATGGAAGAGATAACAGACGCGGATTTAGATGAGATATTTGGACCCATGGAGGTCGAGGAACAGACGCTGGAAGCTACACCGGAGACAGAGGTCAGCAGGGTGCGTTTCGCGTGTCTGAACGAACAACAACT